ACAAAGTGGAAAAGACTCCAGTCTGCCCCCAGATACTGACCTCAAGATCAGAAATTAGAGAAGGGGAGCCCAGGGAGTTTTCCCCTGGGCAGTGGTGGGACATGCCTTTAATCCCAGCACTCAGAAGGCAAAGGCCAGCCTGGTCCAGGATGGCCAGGGCTACATAGAGGAAAGAGTTACGCAGAGAAGCCCTGTCTCAAAAGCCCAAACACAGAAAGAAAAGCAATAGAAAGGAAATGATAGTGTGAAGAAAGAGGTTTGGGGTAGGGTACCAGCAAGAGGGGACCTTCTGCTACCATCCACAAACACCAAGAGCCTGCCCCTCCTGCCAAGTTTCTGGCTTCTGCTCTAGGAATTCCAGCTTCCCAAGCCAGGGGCTGTTGGGGGAATCCAGAGTTAACCTTCTAATGGCCCTATAAAAAGATTTGGGCTCTTAAGAAGCACCTCTCAGTGCCTGTAACTAACCCCACAGAAGTAGTTTGAAAAGTGCAGGGCTGCAACTCAACTGTTGAGCAACAGTTGAGAACTGCAGAGTACTGCAGCCTTTAAAACGTTATCTTCCTATGGCTGGGGGCATAACTCAGCAGTAGAGCACTTTAGACTCAACCCCCAGTACTAGAGGGGAAAATGGCCTTGGTGTCCAGAGCTGAGAGGTCTCCGCTGTGAATGAGATCTCTGAATATCTTCTAGAGAGAAAAAGAAAAAAAAAAAAAAAACATGACATACAGCTCTGGCTGACCTAGAACTCACTATGTAAACCATGCTGGTTTCGAATTTGTAGAGATGTGCCAGCCTCTACTTCCCCTGTGTTAGTATTAAAGGTGCACCACTGTGCTTGGCTGATTAATTGTTATATTTATTAATTGTGGGTGGAGGCCACAGGACAACTTGTGTGAGAGTAGGTTCCTCGCCTTCCATCTTTGGATCCTGGAGATTCACTCAGGTAATCAGGCGAGGCAGCAGGTGCTTTTAGTCATGGAACCATCTCTTGGGCCTCAGGATAGGCTTTTTTGTTTTGTTTTTGTTTTTAAATAAGGTCAGTTCATTCAGGATTTGCATTCTGGCACTCTCTCTAAATAAGAATCATATCTCTAGTCCAAGGGTCAACTCCACTACTGTCCCCTCTAAATGGATCCATGATAGGATTTCATGGAGGGAGGGGGTCTGGGGAATGGCTCAGCAAGTTGCTATAGTCAGAGCTGGAGTTTCTATAAGACAGTAAGACTGGTGAGTAGCGACTAGGCAAGTACCTCCCGACTCTGTGGTCCGAGCTAAAACATCACATCGCCCAAGGTGGGGCTAAAACCCACGATCACAAGACTAACAGTCTCAAGCCAGCTACTTAGCAGGCAGCCTGGTCTACATAGTGAGCTCCAGGACAGCCAGGATTAACTGATCTCTCAAACACACACACACACACACACACACACACACACACACACACACACACACACTCACACAGGTCTTATGCTCGGGAAACCCCATAAAACCCTTCTGAGTATACAAAAAGTGTGCCTGAGGGCACAGGTATAAACTCGTTTTGCATATGAAGTTTAAATTTCTCATCCAGGCATCTGCCTACCGGAAGAGCTGCCTCTCCAAATACTCTGACCTAAGCCAAGGACAGAGATTGGAGACTAAAGACATTTTCAGGAAGCGCCGTTCCAACAAGCCAGGGTGGCCTGCTGCGAAGAGTCTGAGGCTTCCTACAAAAGTCAGATTCAAAACCCAGAGCCATTATGTCAGGGATAAGCCTAGTGTTTCGGGAAGGAGGAACAGTAGGGAATGAACGTTTGGAATGATTGAAAAGCGAAATGAGTGTTTGCAAAAAACGCAACGGGCTCGTCCGGGATTTGAACCCGGGACCTCTCGCACCCTAAGCGAGAATCATACCCCTAGACCAACGAGCCACGTTAACTAGCTTGATAATTCCATTTTATGGAGGTTGTTGAAATAAGGGCGGGACTGGCAGAAATCGACAGGAATGTAAGGCTTCGGAAAGCCTATTTTTCAGCAATTCCTGGACGGGCAAATTCCGGAACCATGTACGCCAAAATACTCCACTTTTCCAGACCCCCTCCACGACCTACAAAGTAGGGAACAGCCCTAGGTCCCACAGTCCGGTGTCTCGGCCTTGTCTACCGGGAGTAGGGCTGGGATCAGCGTTTGCCCACGCAGCAGCTGTCTAAACGCCAAGGTCTCTCCCACGGTTAGATGGAACCCCCAAGAGTCAGGGGGCGGCTGCGTGGAGCGTCCTTGACCGCGTCTCCTTAGCCACGCAGCAGCTTTAGAACGCAGTAAATGTCAGCTGAGGTGCACGCACGATCTCAGGTCCAAGAAAAGAGTGGCCGCCAGTGTCCCTCCCTCCCCCAGTGAAGAAAGCTGTCTTTGAGAAACCAGAGTGGGGAGAGGAATGTACAGTTCCTCATTTGACCTCCGAGAACGGCGCAAATCTGTTTGAAAGTGTACCTACCTCGCACCAGCGCCTTTTACTGGATAGCTGGTCTCTGAAGAACTACCCTGAAGTCAGCTCCTCCGCCTTCCGCTCCTACAGAAAGCAAAGGTAAGCAGTGGGAACTTGTGTAAAAATGCAGAGGTATCTCTGCACCGGGCTCGTCCGGGATTTGAACCCGGGACCTCTCGCACCCAAAGCGAGAATCATACCCCTAGACCAACGAGCCAGTACACCTTGATTTGCCCCCCTCCCCTCTCTCCAAATTCGGCCTCTCCAATCTCTTCCCAGTTCCTTGGTTGTTCAGCACCAGCGAGCATAGGATTTACAGGCCCACAGTCACTGCGGGATTTCCAGGGGAGCGCCACTTGGGCGATATAAACCAAGGAAATGATAAGCTGACAGATTTTCCATTCTCTAAATGCCTAACTAGCGTGGACTAGAGATGGGTTTACAGGTCGGTAAAGTAGAAGACTTTCTTGGCAGAATACTGACGTTAGAAAACACAAAGTGCATACTCATCCATTTTTCAAAATGACAAATGTCAATCAAAACAAAATACAAAACTGACAAACCAAAGACTTATAACTTAGCAACATAGATTTAAAGTCCTTAAAATAAATGTGTGGTGACCAAAGCCTAAAATCCCAGTGCTTGAGATGTGAACAAAGGAGGATTAGGAGTTCCAGGTTATCTTTGGCTACCCAGTGAGTTTGAGGCCCGCCTGAGCTACACGAGACCTTGTCATATGGCAAGAAAAAGAAAGGGAATTCTAGAAATCGATAGCTATAGGTCTCAGCTCTATTTCCTTCGTCTTTGAGACAGGTTCTTGTCATATTGCCTAGGCTAGCCCCAAAGTCACCCTGCTACGGGTGCACAGCCCTAGACCGCTCCTCAGTGGATTAGGAGGGAAGTAACTAAGCTCTGAAGTGGAGGTCAGACAAGAGGTTCTTTGAGGCCTGGGAAGAGTTTCAAAACCCCAAACTGCACACTTGTAATCCCAGCACTGTGGGGGCAGAGGCTGTAAAGTCAGTCTGGGTTACACTGAGGCAGTCTCAGAGCAACAATGTACTAATTTCCAAGGGCTTCCGGAACGAAGTGCCATAGCCTTAACTGCCATCACTCTGCTCCTATGGCTGAGCCACCATTGCTGTCTCTGAACTCTGAACAAAGGTTCTGGGAATAGCATGCTGACCACACAGGCAGAGGTCTTGTGAAATTCGCACAAGGCAGTTCAGGCTGGCGGGAAGGCTGGGCAGGGGTCCTGCTTCCTTGGCTGCTCCTTCCTCTGGAAGGAGCCTTCTACCTACCGCCTTCCAATCTGGCTACAGCTTAGAACAGATTGGGACTCCCACACTACTGAATTGTGGGATTCCTCCACCCTGTTCTATTTGGACAGACAGACCTGAATCAGCATCTCTCAGAATAAGGCCCCATGGGGTATTCGGTTCAGGCTATTGCTGCACTGGGGTGGTGCCAGGCACAAGGACGACCTTGTGAGCAGACAAACAAGGCTGTGTGCGGGCTCATAGGCCCAATCTGATTCCTGCTTAGAGTGCAAGAGGGTCAAATGCTGAGAAATACGGATCCCCAAAGTTTCTTTCCTCTTAAAGGGAAACCTAATAGGTCTCTCTCACTGAGTCCTGACAGGCAACTTCTTAGGCTGGAGGAGTAAACCAAACCAGTGGTGTTGGAATTCAAAGTGAGACGAGAATTCACAATGCCACCCAAGTGGGCCAGGTCCCAGGCACCACCCACTGAGTTGGCTGGGCCACCATATGCCATTGGGTATCTGCTTTCTTTGATCAGAGGTGTCAGATAATTCAGCTGCTCCTAAGGGGTCTTCTAGGATTCCCAGAGTCCTGCCCATACAGACACCGTACTCTGGGACTGAACCTTCCAGATGCAGACAAAAGCATATGGCTGTGATCAGTGGAACCAGACTCCAGGATTGTGAGGCGCTAGCTAATACATTGTCTGAGCTGCGGCAGCGTCCCCCAGTCTTGGGCGTCCAGCAGGGCTGTTTGGCCATGTGTTTGGGGAGAATTTAGGGCGAGGCTTATTTAATGGACGTTCCTTGCCTCCTCCCTGCTCTCTGACCACAAAATACAGCCCCCACAGCAGTCTCAATCACCGGGCAAAGACTTCCCCCAAAGAGCAGTTTTTCTCCGAGGTCCTTACTCCGTGGTAGGCTGGCTCCGTGGTTGATTGTTAAACTTTTATGTCCACCCCACAACCTAGACAAGCGGCAGAACTCAACTCAGCTGGGAATGAATATGGGCCTATAAGGAAGTATTAGGAAACTCCAGCCATGTGGCTCGTTGGTCTAGGGGTATGATTCTCGCTTCGGGTGCGAGAGGTCCCGGGTTCAAATCCCGGACGAGCCCTGGAGGGGGTCCAGTTTCCCAATGTTTTTGCTGCCACGCTTTAGAAAGCTTGTAAGTTAATGGTACTCATCAGAGGGGATTAAAAAAAGCCTGCACGCCCAACGTGGGGCTCGAACCCACGACCCTGAGATTAAGAGTCTCATGCTCTACCGACTGAGCTAGCCGGGCTATCTGATGAGTTGTGTTACCTGAACTAGCTGAGCTGTCTGAGGAACTGCCTGCCGAGAACCACTATTGTCCCTTTTTGTTCTTTGGTGAAATCGCGGTAGAAAATTTTCAGAGTGGAAAGCAGTGAAAGCAACAGGTCTCTTGGCAAGGAACTCAGACTCGTGGGCCCGGGAAGTACATGCTGGCATGGAGGGACAGAGACGCTGGGGTGCTGCCGCTGAGAGACCAGTGTGCGACGCACGGAGGCCTGAAATCTCGAGGTTTACTCCTCATAGGCACACAGGGGCATCTGCGCCAAAAGGCAGAAGCTTCGCTCAAACGATCGCTCATACCGTCTTACTCGAGAGCTGCTTTGAGCCAGTGAAGTCCATGTCAAGGAGTGTAGGTCAGTGACAATATGGGGACAAGGCGTGTATCCCTGCAATGGCTCTTAAGGATGGGCCTCCTCTAGGCCTCTGCGAGTTCTCTGGATCAAACCCAGCGGAGTCCACACTTTTCATTACCCATCTGCTAGCTGGTGGGGGGTGGGGATGTGGCAGGGGCTCGTTTTAAAATGTATTCTTTGACAATTTCATGTTTTTATGTAATGTTGGTTATTTCGTCGTCCTCCTCATTTTCCTCCCACTCCAGCCGTTCCCCCCTTATTCCCAAAAAGTCTTCCTCCTATTTGCATGCCTTCTCTCTCTCTCTTCCTCCTATTTGCATGCCTTCTCTCTCTCTTTTTTCTTGCATGCTTTTTTATTTTGGTTTTAGTTTGTTACCCACTAAGCTTTAGTAGGCTGCTCGGCGAGCATCGGGGGAGGTTGTTTACTGGAGCAAGACCCCTGATCCCAGCAACCACTAAGTGCCTACACCTCCTACAGGAGGTGTGAGGGTCTCATGAGCGGCTCTATCCTTGGGAATGCAAGGAGAAAATCAAGGGTCACCCATTACAGGACTTTCTCTTTAGAACTAATCTCAGTAGTTCCTCTGCTAGGTTATAAAATGTGCTTGCTCTCTTTCTGGCCCTGGGTAAAAATGGTTGCAGAGTCACCAAGAATTCACGCAGGTGTGTGATTGCAAAAAACACTGTTACTAGCCGAAATAGCATTGTGCCGTTTGCTTAAGGCTTTCAGCCCTTGTTACAGACACTGGTGTCGGGAATGGGGGCAGTTTGGCTGGCAGTCTGACTGTCTCAGTGCTTTTGCTCAAGGCCGCAGGCTAACGAGAGAGAGACTGCTAAGAGCTGTCAATTAGGAACTCAAATTGCCCCAATCACCAATGTCTTTGCTTACTTTTAGATAAAAGAACATCAAAGAGGTGCTTAAATTTAAAAAAAAAAAAAAAAAAAAAAAAAAAAAAAAAAAAAAAAAGCGTAGTGGAGCACGTGCCTTTAATCCCCAGCATTCTGGTGGCAGACGTAAGCAGATCTCTGCAAATTCCAAAGCCAGCCTGGTCTACATACAAGTCCCAGGCCACGGTGAGACCCTGTCTCAAAAATAATAAAATAAAAAAGTAAAAGTCATCGTTCACTAATTGTGATTTTTTAACAGAGCTTTAACAATACTTAACCGAGGCTCAGTACCCCAGGAAGAGTTACAGCTCATTTATCTCTCTCAATTTTACCATCAAACAATCAAAATGACCAAATGATCTGGCAGCACTAGATTCTAGGGTTCTCTAAGCCAGGGTGTCACTCACAAGCAGAGACAGATAGGTCCCTCTGCTTAGGACCAGACTTAGGATACAGCTGTTTGGAGTGTATTGTTCTCTAACTCCAAGTTTGATAGTATGAGTCCCCTTTGATTTTGTTTGGGCAGGAAGGGTCTTGCTCCCATGTTAGAAGATGCTTTTGAACTGGCCCTGTGGTTCGATAGCTGTGTATGGGTGACTCTTCATGACTTAAAATTCCCAGTTGTGCTGGACATGGTGTTTCACATTAGTAACCCCAGCACTGGGGAGTCAGAAAGATAAATACAATTTAAGGAAAGTGTGGGCTACATAATGAGTTCCAGGCCAGCCTAAACTACAGTGAGGGAAAAAAAAAAAGTACAAACTCATCTTCAGCTGCCTAGACAGAATACAGGAGGCTGTCTCAAAACAAAACAAAAATCAACAACAAAACAACATCTGGACTAGGTGACACAGTTTTCCCCAAAAAATGCATGTATAGACCAAGTATGGTAGCTTGTGCTGTTAATCCCAGCACTCAAGAGGCAGAGGAAGGTGGCTGTCTATGAGTTAGAGGCCAGCCTGGGCTACACAGTGGGACTTGGTTTCAAAACAACAGCAAAAATCCAGGTTACCTAGGACCACATAGTACAGGGGTCTTTGCAGATTTAATTAGCAAAGTTGAGTGAGTTCATAGTGAAGTGGAATAAGCCCTAATCCAATGACTGAAATGGAGAGACAAAAAACAGTGTGGAGAGACTGCTAGGCTGACAGAGGTATGTGTCTGTAACTGAAGAACAATAAAGACTGTATGCAGCAGGCTTTCTTTTGGGCCACCAACCAGCTCCTAAATCATGACAAATGAAGACTTACCATCAATTATGAATGCTCAGCCTTATCTTATGCTTGTCCCATTAGCTCTTATAACTTAAATTAGCCAGTTTCTCTTCATCTACATTTTGCCTTGGGACTTTTTACCTTTCTTTCGTTCTGTATGTCCTACTCTGTCTGGTTGGCTGCTGGCTGGCTGGCTGGCCCCAGGTGTCTCCCTCTCTCCTCATTCTCTCCCTCCTTTCTTCTCACCAGTCTAGAGCCTAGATCTTCCTCTTATTTATTCTCTCTGCCCACCAACCCCACCTATCCCTGAGTAGCTATTCAGCTTTTTATTAGATGAATCAGGTGACTTAGGCAGGCAAAGTGAAACAGCAACACATCTATACATAATTAAACAAATGCAGCAGAAACAAACGTAATACATCTTTGCCCAGTTAAACAAATGCAACACAAACACATGCAACACACCTGTACATAGTTAAAGTAATATTCCACAATATAAACAAATGTAACACATCTTTAGTAGCAAAAGTAACATTCCACAACTGCAGGCAGCTACAAGAGTCTGGGAGAGACAAGAAAGGGTCCTCCTTGGAGCCTTAAGAGGAAGCAGGCCTTGCAACTCCTTAAGAAAAAGCTGTTGAGCTGGGTATTGGTGGCCCACGCCAGAGGAAGGTGGATTTCTGTGAGTTCGAGGCCAGCCTGGTCTACAGAGTGAGTGCCAGGACAGGCTCCAAAGCAGTACAGAGAAACTTGTCTTGAAACCCCCCCCCCCACAAAAGGAAAAGAAAGAAAAGAAAAAGAAAAAGCTGTTGGCTTCAGAATGGCAAGAATACCTTTCTACTGTTTTTAAACCACCCAGCTTCTAGTAATTTCTAACAGCAGCTATAAGAAGATAATTAGTACACTGTAAGATGTTTTGGAGTTTTGATGCAAAAGCTGTAATTGTGTAGTTTTGGAGCCTCTCCTGGCACTCACTCTGTAGAACAGGCTGGCCTGAACTCACAGAGATCTGCCTGCCTTTGCCTCCCAATTGTTGGAACTAAAGGCATGCACCACTACTTCCCAGCTCACAGGTTCTTTCTATTTCAATTTTATTAATTAATATTAACTCTAAGCTCACATATTATATTTCTCACAGTGTGTTGTGTGTATATATGATGTGTGTGTGTGTGTGTGTGTGTGTGTGTGTGTGTGGGTGTGTGTGGTGTGTCTGAGTGTGTGTGGTATGTGTGTGTATGTGATGTGTGGTGTGTGTGTGTAGAGGCTTCAGAGTTCAGAAAGGCTGTTCTGAAATCAGAGATGGAGAACTGACGCAGTGACAAGAGTCTGTAGTAGACCAGTTATCTACATCCTAATGAAGTGCAGTCCAGTGTTCAGGCACAGATGTCAGGTGACCAGCCATCTGGGAAAGTACCTAGAAACCTACTGAGTGCAGTGAAAACTGCACTGGAGTCTTGGTCTGGAGGAAGAGGTCCTTTGCTATGGCAATTTCCCTGCATAAAATTCCTAATAAGTGGCATGTGGGGCAACTAGTCTCGGGATGCTCTTTTGTAGTCCAAAAGGAAGGGTTCCATTTGGCATGAGTGACAACTTAATACATCTGCAGTGTTCTTATCTACTTGTAGAAATACATTGTCCTCTGCCTTGTTTACTTGTATAAGCAAGATATAGAGTCCTTCTTTTGGGGGGGTTGGGGGGAAAGGGGTTCTCTGTGTAGCTTTGGAGCCTATTCTGGCACTCGCTCTGGAGACCAGACTGGCCTCTAACTCACAGAAATCCACCTGCCTCTGCCTCCCGAGTGCTGGGATTAAAGGTGCATGCACCATCAACGACCCACAGAGTCATTCCTTCTTCTTCTTTTTTTTTTTTTTTTTTAAGATTTTATTTATGCACACCAGAGGCGGGCACTCATTACGGATGATTGTGAGCCACCATGTGGTTGCTGGGAATGTTCAATTAGGACCTCTGGAAGAGCAGTCGGTGCTCTTAACCTCTGAGCCATCTCTCCAGCCTCAAGTCATTCCTTCTTATCATTTATGTTCAAAGTGGAGAAATGCAGATCAAAGCTGTTGCTTTACAAAATGGAGTCATCCAAGGCTAAACATAGTGTGAACATTGATATTCCATACAACCTATGATAACCCAGAACAGGCCCAGCGTCTTCTCAGGGACATCCCTACTCCTGTGTCTAAGTTGGAGACACAGAGTGAGTAGTTTGTGGGTATGACCTCAACTCTAGATACACCACTCTCCCCACACTTCTCTGGGATCCTAGGCTGCTTTTGTGAGATGTGACAGCCAAGCAGAGTGTGGGCAGAGAAATGGCTCTTCCCAGGACAGCAAGTGCTGCAGGAGGTACCCCAAATTGAGATGTCAATCTGGTGAATTTAGCATAAATCCAAGGCTGTATTTGATCATATCAGGAACTCCCCTCCCCCATTACCAGGTTGGCTCAGCTTATCAAGATCCACCATAGGATTCGCCCACAGGGAAAGACTCCAGCTCAGGTTGAGTCTTATCTATATGTCCCTAGATCAGTGTGATGTCCCTCTCTCTCCTTGGCAAGGCCCTGCAGTCTCTACTATGTCACCTCTAAGCAGATTCTTGCTGGGTGGTGGTGGTGCACACCTTTAGTCCCAGCACTTGGGAGGCAGAGGTCAAATTGGTCTACAAAGTGAGTACCAGGACAGGCTCCAAAGCTACACAGAGAAACCCTGTCTCAAAAAACAAAACAAACAAACAAAAAGACACAGGATTCCTAACCCTGGTCGCTGTTGATGAAATGACTAAGGACAAGCCATCTTGTTCTGACTCCATTTTGTGTTTGTTTAAAAGAGTTCTCTGCCCTCTACCCTCTTCCCCTCAGTAGTCACATGCCTTCATAAGATATCTGAGATTTCCATGGCCTTGACCATGGTCCGGATATATTAACAACAATAACAAAATTAAAGTAAACTAAAACAACCAGACTATATGTAAGTCAAAAATAATTGTCAAGTTATGTCTAAAATAATAACATGCTCAGCCAGGAATGAAGGTTTCAATGTCACTCTGACACTCATCTAACTTTGATGTAAATTATTGGCTTGGTGTTTTTTTTTTGGTTTTTTTGTTTGTTTGTTTGTTTGTTTGTTTGTTTTGAGACATGGTTTCTGGTTTTTTTCGAGACAGCCCTGGCTGTCCTGGAACTCTCTCTATAGACCAGACTGGCCTCAAACTCATGGAAATCCACCAGTCTCTGCCTCCTGAGTGTTGGGATTAAAGGTGAGCACCACCACTGCCCAGTGTGGGTTTTGCCTTTACTTTACTTTATAAATTACTTTATAATTTACATTCCAATATGATTCAAAACAGTAGCAAAATTGCAGTTATGAAGTAGCAACGAAATGATTTTATGGTTGGGGATCACCACAGCATAAGGAGCTGTATTAAAGGATCTCAGCATTAGGATTGAGAAGGTTGAGAACCACTGAATAAAAAGCACTTAAAACTTTTAATTGGCTTAATCAGTATGGTTGTCAATAACAATCTCCTGCAGATCATTTCAGATGAGAGCTGAGGAATCCAGATACCCAGGCCATCCAAAAGCTGCAACCTTAGTTGCTCCCACTGTCCAAGGAATGTTCTAGATCTACACAAGAGCTATACAGCCTAGTATGAGAGCCACAACATTAGAGCACACCACTTCCGTTGCTGCCGCCTGCCTGGGGTCTGACGCATGTCTGCAAATGAAGAGGGATGCAAAAGCTGTCAAAGACCAACACCTGAAGTGATACTCACTGGCACATGAGCAAAAGAACAGTGTAACTGAATTTAATAAGATTTAAAATTCATACTGGCTGCCCAGCTAGTGTACTGAGACTCATGATCTTGGGGTCACAGAGGAAACCCATGTTGGGTGTCTGACCTCAGAGCAATTGCTGGTATTTGGTGTATACTATCTACTGAGATGGGAATCAGATCCTGAGAACAGAGAGGTGGCCGGCTCCTACTAATGTTTGTTGCAGCCTGTAGCTGTGCACAGCCGGCTCGACGGAGCTCTCCTTAGATGGAATCTGTTGACCCACCATATCCCTGTTCCTTTGGTTTTGGTGACATAGTGAGGGGCTTCTAGCAGAACAATCTACCTGTAATTGTGAGGACCAGCTTTGGTTAGAAGCAGAGGCCTGTGATTCCCAAGCCTTGGTTATCATTCCAAACAGCATCTATAATACCAACCACATCTGCCAGTTCCCAAGCCAATCATCATTCCAAAATGATGCAGCCCCTGGTCTCTCTTAAAAAGAGAGCTTAGCTGGAGTATGAACCCAAGACCTCTACACACCCTAAACAACACTCATTCCCCTGGACCTGTGTAGCTCAGAGTTCTCATGGTCTGAGGTGAGTTTACTATACCCTGTGCTACTCCATCAGCAACTGTCTCATTTTCTACTTTATGAATTTCCCCCTTCCCATCATTTATCAGGGAAAGATTTGATTCCATCCTCCAAGAGGAAAACAGGAAACGGGGGTGGGGTGGGGGGCTCTAGGGTTGCTAGTTATCAAGTTCTGTCTTGGGAAAGTACCCAGGAAGACTTCTTGTCACTCAGTTAAGAGATGGAGCAGAGTTTGAACTCCCAAACCCACCCTCAGGCATTGCAGACTCCCAGACCCACTCCTGGGACCCAGCCACATTCTGGAGTCAAACTGGGTGAGGATAAGAACAGAACTCAGAGACAGCAGTAGTGGGGGAGGACGAAGGTCAGGCCTGGAGAAGGGAACACACCTACCCAAGAGTGGAACTTGCCAGTCTGTGGGGAAACAGTGGCTTCCCCTTAAAGAATAAGAACCTTCAAAATGCTCTGGCCTCAGCAAAAGGTGCCTGACAAAAAAACCTAGTTACTCCTTGACCCTGTCAGGCCTCGAGGAAGGTGAGGCCTCCCCAGGCAACCTTAAGGTCTTCGAAAGAATCCTGACGGTTCTTAGGGAATGGACTGTCGGGAAACAGGAACGAGTTCCAGAGCCCAGGACCCTGGATTAAGAAGAGAAACTTGGAAAGGTTAGAGGCAAGGCCCACTGGTGCTCCGAGCTGGTGCTCAGAGCTGCCAGCCTGTGATCAGCTCTCCTGAAGATGAAGCAATCTCTTGGGGCCTGTAGGATTCTAGGATTCAAATAGGACTGTTCTCTTCATTCTGATGCTTTGCTATCTGGGTCTGGCTAAGCCTGTCCCGCCAGTTTAGCCGATTTCCTTTCCTCAGATCTCAGAGTCTAAGTTAGTGTTCACTTCCCCCAGGCACCCAGAGTTAGATGTCAGATGACTAGGTCGTTTACATGCCCTAAAGCCTACGAAAACCCTTAAAATTAGCTAAACACACACCCTTTAACTCTCCTGGTCTCTTCCTTCCATGAAAATCACAATGCAGGTTCTTGTTTATAAGGCAAATGCAGTTATGGTCACTCGCGATGCCACTCTCCTTCCTCTATGAGCCAAAAAAAAAAAAAAAAAAAAAAAAAAAAACAAAAAAAAAAAAAAAAAAAAAAAAAACCAACAACAAAAAAAGAAACATTTTTTCAGTGGCAGTAGTCTCCACTAATGGTCTTGCCTTCCCTCGATAATCAAATAATAAAATCTAGCAAAACTGTAGTGTGCAAAAAAAAAAAAATTGGAGCTCGCGTGCCAGGCCAGCATTATCACGGTGGCCCCAAGGCTGAGGACACACAGCCTCTAGTGCCGCCATCTGCTCCCAGTAGCTGTGGAAGGCGCAGAGGGCAGCATTTCCGGGTGTTTCAGAACACGCGCGTCGTTGGAATTTAACTTCGCGACCTTACCTAACCGAAGAAAAACAACGCGCCTAGAGCAGGGAGGCCTGGTACACGACACCCAGACATCTGCGGAGACAGAGATGGCTGGGAGGGATTTGTCCTTGTTCTCTGCTCCAGTCCAGGGCGCATGCCATTTGTCCTTCAGCTGCACCTAGACCCCATGGCTGCGTCGGACCAGACATATCCGGCAGAACAGATGTGGGGACAAGAGCTATGCCTTCGACTCTGTCCTTGGATCTAGATCTAGCTTTTCGCTGAAGTCCAAAGCCTTCACGCTGTGAGTAAAAACTAAAAGTGCATCAGGGCTCGTCCGGGATTTGAACCCGGGACCTCTCGCACCCAAAGCGAGAATCATACCCCTAGACCAACGAGCCACCGCGGGAACGAGCGGCGTTCATGTCTTTGGATACCTTCATCGACACACTACGTCCATAAAACCGATTCTTTTAGTGATGCCCGGAAGAGTTCAGAGTTCGTAAACCGAGGGAGATGCGGCACGGCGGGGACGGAAGAGAAAGTTCCTACAGGCTCAGGGTAGGTCAGACCCCAGCCCTGAGGCCAAGCGTTCGGCGTGAATGACCAGGGACCACCGTCCTCCGGGAAAAGGAAGTCAGAGAGCTCGCGAGGTGGACCCCAGCTTAGAAATTTCACCCCAAATAGAATCCAAGTGCAGAATCCCGAGAATGAGACTGGAGATTGCCGCCTCCTGATCCGCCAGTCCCCGCGGACAAAGCCAGGATCCTCCAAAGACCCGCAGATCCCGTCCCTTGGCCAAGCCCACTCCGGCCTGGCCTCGGCCCTGAAGACCCGCGCGGCTCAGAGACACAGATACAGAAGCCAGAGCTGGACCCCAGGTTCGGTTCTTCCGAATCCAGCGGCAGAGCGAACGCCCCAAACTTCACCTCCGCATAGCGTTTGGCCCGGGACCCATTGTCCCTGCGGCGAGTTGGAAAGCACAAGCTCACACATGGTCATTAGATCGTGAAACCAGTCAGGCCCTAATCGGGGCTCTCACTAACATCCGCACAGACCACCACCTAGAGCCCTTCTGTGGCTCCCGGGGACGGGAGGGGCCACATGACCCTGGCCGTGCAATTTTAGGAGGTTGGAGGAGTAAACCCACCACCATCTAAGGCTAGATGCTCGTCCAAAAGGCCAGAGCAAGTTCCAAGTGTTCTAGAACCCGGAAGTTCTCAAGAACTCCAAGAGGCTTGTGGGAAGACGACTGTCATCGCCGCCCGGCTAGCTCAGTCGGTAGAGCATGAGACTCTTAATCTCAGGGTCGTGGGTTCGAGCCCCACGTTGGGCGAGCAGTTTTGCCTATGTATGAAGTGGGCAGAAGTCTGTACACTGAAAGAGAAGTGTAGTGTAATGTAGACTGTATGCCAGAGGATCTCATAAACCGTGCTGTATATTCTGTATATACTCGGCAGGTTACAGAGTCAGGAACTTTACCTTTATATTAATATTCTTATGTTTAACCTGACACTTTACAAATATATTTACATACAAGTTCCAGGTACTGTACAAAGAACTTCATGACTCTTGTCTAAGGACACTAATTGGTGAGGGGCGCCACTTCTCAGGAATGCCTTGAAACTCCCAAAACTCAACAGACTTCTTTCCATCCTCGATGATGCTTAGAGGAACTAAGAATGGTCCAGTGTGGATTGTTTTACCTGTATGCCGGTAAAGTCGGGAAAGCACCTAAATCCTTGGGCTATGGGAACCGAGTCCTTTCAAGATTGTCTAAAACAAGTTTCTAGCGGAGCCTATGGTGGCTCCACTGGTGCTAAAAGTGTCTGCTTTCCGTCTTGGGGAGCAGAAATCATTGTGAAAATGTTGAAGGCACAGGGTCAGAAAACAAAATAAATAGGAAGTCCTCCAGCACCCTCCCTTGTTTAAAGCAGGTTTCTAAAAGCAAGTTCCGGTCCAGTTTGTCCTGGAACTCGAGATGTAGCCCAGGCTAGCCTCGAAAAGACTCACCTGCCTCTGCCTCCCTAATGCTGCGATTATAGGGTGAGCACCACCACCCACCTTTGAACCTTTCTCTAAGTAACAAAAGCCATGAATTGTTCTAAAACAAAACAAAACAAAAACAAAAACAACAACAAAAAAACAAACAGAAGTGTCTCTTGTTGAATCTCTAGAAAGCCAAGGCCAAAACCCAAAGACCTCCATACAATCAATCATCTTGTAGCCACAGGGCTGCTCTTGTTAAAACAGACAAAGAAAATATAATTTCACCGTGCATGTTGCAGAATCATATGTAAGGTGAACCAACAGCCTCAGAGAGGCCTTCCTGTGAAAGACAGGACAGGACAGGACAGGACAGGACAGGACAGGACAGGACAGGACAGGACAGGACAGGACAGGGGAGAGGGAACCACAATAAAATTGCACATCTAAAATCTGAGCAACTGCTGTTTTAGTATCAACTAATTGGTGGTTCATAAAAATAGTTCAAACGAAATTACAAGATATTTTGTAAACTGAAAACATGTATTTGTTTGAAAACAAAATACTGCTTCTAACACGAGAGGTAAGTCAAAACCCCTCACTTTTAAGAACATTTTGTTTCTCATATACATGTTTCATTTTCCAAACGTTTCTAAAGGACCTAAAACACAGCCTTCCTACCCCGGGTGGGACTCGAACCCACAATCCCTGGCTTAGGAGGCCAATGCCTTATCCATTAGGCCACCGGGGCTGACGAGAAGAAGATGGTATGTGTCTTCCACCAGTTTATTTCTTTCGGTTCTTCCTGTGTCTATCTACTGTGTGCACCACTCCTCAAATCGCTGCCCTTTTCCAGCCTTTCGCTTCAGCTCTGATCAAGTCAACGCCCTGGTGCACCCTTGAGATCTAGAAGCAGCCGCCGCACTCGTGAAGAAGAAACTGAAAAATGTTCATCCCTGGATTTATCTTAGCTCATTGGTCTAGAGTGGGTATAACCTCTTTCTGTGGTGCAAGGTGCCCAAGATTCAAATATTGAATGATTCTCTTAAACCGGGACGGCGGGTAGGGAAAAAGTGTTTGTGATGCAGGATACAGAAGTCGGCGCGATAAAATATGTGTTTCTCAGTGCAGGTTCCCTGTCCAGAAAAAAAGAGAATGTGCACTGTATTCTGTTTCTGTCCAGTCCTCTCCCTCTGTCTCTTCGACCAAATACTACTTGGTAGGGTCGTCTTCACTTCTTTCTTTTTTCCTTTATAAAGTATACAGCTGACTTTTTTTTTTTTTTTTTTTTTGGTTTGTTAGTTTGATACTCTCCCCTCAAAAAAAAAAAAAAGTGTGTGTGTGTGTGTGTGTGTGTGTGTGTGTGATCTAACACATTTACAAGCCTTATTAAACCACTGTAATATCAAAGATCGAATAAACTCTGCACAACGCTGTGCCTCGTGAACTGGCTCCCCGCCCTCGCCCTCTCCGAGGAATTGCGGGCTGAAAGAGGTTTCCGCTTACATCGAATCCCTTAAACAGAGACACCCCCCCGCCGCCCGCCCCACGAGAAATGTCAACTCAATTCTGGATATATTCTTGCTATTTAAAAATTTATGTTTACACTGGACCTGTAAAGAGCAGCTTTTTGTTGTTGAGACAAGAATGGCCTTTAATTAACTCTCCTGCCTGCACCTCCCAAATGCTGGGTGGGACTACCTGTGTGCCTGGACACCCTCGCTTTGTTAAGATTTCTAATCTATTAGATTGTTTTACTGATTTTAGAGCTGTGGACATATATATAAACCAAATCTACTGCTTTAATTATTTTCAGATATCCTGTTCAATGACATCAATTGCATTCACCTCATTGTGCCATCAACCGGTTAGCCTACTGAGTTTTTTAATCAAAGTGTCTTTGGCTTCCCCTTGGGTCAACTCCCAGACCCTCCCGCAAAGAATTCAGTCTGCCATCTTTCTTAGGCTCTAAATCGCGCTGGTCGTAGTCTGGTTTGAGATAGCTTCACTTAACGATTTCAAGCTAGCTTTGCTCTCCTGTCGTCCGAGATACCAGTCCTGGGAGCGGTAGTGCGAAAAGAAAACCTGAGAAAGGAAAATTTTTAAGCAGGGGTTTTATAAAAAGCTAAACACTTGCAGCGACCACGAAGGGACTCGAACCCCCAATCTTCTGATCCGGAATCAGACGCCTTATCCATTAGGCCACGCGGCCCTACGCTGTCACGGCTTTTCATTCTTTCCATAAGGCTTTCTTAAGAGACTACTGCGCATGCTTAAACTGAGAAAAGGTCCCACCCCTTCAGTTAATCTGTTTAGTGAGAGCTGCTTGGGAGTTTCAACCAATTTGAATCAGTATGAGCCCTCCGGGGCAGTACGCTAACGGAATCCTCTGAATCCGAGAGGCTCGCCTTTCGGATCACCTCCTCCACTTGCTGGCTCTCAACTCAGGATCAGGAACAGTCCATGCGCTTGCGCCATCACATCACTGGTGTATCTGTAATGGCTCCCCTCCCCTGCATCTTGGTGCCCAGAGCCAGGTGGAGATTGAAGAACGCAGGCACCAGGGACCTGGCAGGGGAGAACTGTGGTCCCTGAGCCAGTCCTTCTCAGGACTTCTCTAGGCCTCTCCCAGCATATCCTCTTAGGTTGCGTAGTTCCAAACACGAGACTCAGACCCCAGTCCAACCTCTGGTCCCCAGGAGCACAGATGTTCCCCTATCTAGTGTCAGGTACTTTAACCGTTACCTCACTTATTTCAGAGAGAGCATGCATTTCCCGGAGCACAACGACTGTGAACAGATATTTATTGTACGCTATCTGAACTCCCATGCCCGAGATGCTGCATCGCTGACAGAGCGCTGAAGGGGGATAGAGAGTAAGCAGCAGAGCTGTCAATCCTGTAAACAGAGCCGGCGCCGGAGCGAGCTGCGGATCTCCAAGCAGGCCTTGCGCAGCTCATCACTGTCTGGTCCCAGCACATCCAGCTCACATACCCTCCTGTTGACCTGAGGGGCTGACACTCAGCTAGGACCTGAGGGGCTCAGTCTGGCACACCCACTACGGTCCTTCCTTGTTTCCTGGCGATTACTTTGTGGAAAGAGGATGCTTTCTGAATCCATATTACTGTGTATCCCAGGCTGGTCTCAAACTCGGAGATCCTGCCGCAACCTTATAGCTATAGGCATGCCCCACAACACCAGGCTCTTGTCTGTTGTTCTGAAAACCTAAAATTTCAAGTGCTACTTAATCATCTTTGAGCCTCACACTGCACAGAGGTTTAACATGGATTCCTTGCTCTTACCTAAAAAAGTCCCCAACCCAGTGGGAAAGACTCCTCACTCTGTGGTAAAGACTCCCCACCCCACATATATTGCTGCTGAGACGTTTTGATCAGGGTACTATGATCATTTCATATTGTGAGGGCCAAAAATCCCCCCTAATAATAAGGGTAGAGAGAGAGACAGAGAGAGAGAGAGAGAGAGAGAGAGAGAGAGAGAGAGAGAGAGAGACTGAGACTTCTCTTTTCCCTGGGGTGAGAGGTAATGGGAACACTATCACCAATGCAGCCTTTCTTTCTCTGTCCCTGTCCCAACCCCTCACACCTCAGTCAGCAGCTCAATGAGATCTCCTCCAGGGTTGGCTCTGATGACCTCCACCAGTGTCTGAACAAAGTCTGAGCCCTTTTCTTCGTCCCGATAGGCCACACAGCCTAGATCAGAGGATGGGGCCATAGAGTCAATCAGCCTTGGGCTGCTGCCCTCTGCATCCCAAACCCCAGAGACCTATTGTGGGTGGGAGGAGTGAGAAGGGAAAGCAGAGGGTATTCTGGGTATCCGGCTTGGGACCAGAGCAGCATCAGGCACTTCTTACATCATCGAGAAGTTGCTGATATTTATAGAATATTTGGGTAGAATCAATGTAGAAAAAACATTTGCTGTGGACCTGCTAGGTATCAAACATTGGTCAGGGTCCTGAGGCAAGCCGACTTGCCCTGTCTTTGAAGGGACACAAGGGTTTGGCATAGTGAGCACTTGACAAAAGCTTGCCATTGTTATTATGACTATAAAGAATAAACTGCAGCTGGGCTGGTACACCTATTCTTGCTGATACTAAAGTCACACCAGGACTCAGGGCAGGAAGCTAGGCCCACAGTAACTTACCCTCAGCAGCTGCATAGACAGTAAGGATGTCTGCTTGGCCAGAGCTCCCTGGAGTGGAGGGAGGGATGCCTGCAAAAGAGTCAACTCTCTTTACCAGCACCCTACGACTCCACCTGCCTCAGGTCTTGTCTCTGGTTCAAGGGCAGCATAGGGCAGTGGAAAATTCAGGGCAGGAAGACAGATGGAAAACCACAAGCATTCAGACTGTATGAACTCAAAGAAGCTGACTTCAAACTGCTCGGCTCCGTTAGGTCCCTGGCAGCTTAAGGAGACACTCCCTCCCTGAGTCTTGGCAAAGAAGGGGCAGAGGTGGCAGCAGAACCCAAGAGGACAGTCCTGGAAGTACGCCATGAGTGATCCCCACCACCAGTGTGCAAGCCCAGGCCCTAGAAGGCAGGCAGACCCACCTGGGGCATCCACATGGACCTGGAGAACATCTGCCTGGGTGGGGATGGCTGGGGGTGCTCGCAGCCAGCGCTTGTACCACGGGAGAGCTCTTGACCCCACACCAGGGTCTCTGTTCCCTGGAGAAGCAGCGGGGCAGATACTTGTACTCAGTGGTACCTCAGGATATCTCTGGGTAATCCAGACTCCGTATAAATAGTGGGCAGGCTTACAGAGCTGGCAATATTCATACAGGCTCAAGTTTGTGGGGAGGATGGAGAGGGGCAGGGAAAGGCCAGTGTGTGGGCTTCCTGGGGGAGGTGGGTGGGAAATGTGGGAGGCCAATGGCTGGCAGAGGAAAGCCAGGATGGGCGGTTGGGCTGGAGGCAGGGTCCCTTACCCCCGCGGCAGGCCTGGAGCAGGAAGACCTTGGGGCGGCCACGCAGTGCCTGGCAGCAGCTCAGCTCCTGCACCAGCATCTCGGACTGTACTTCTCGCCCATCAGCCCCCAGTAGCTGCCCCTGTGGCCCTCCGTGAGCCATCAGGGCCACCAGGGCACAGCTCACAGGACCCTTGTGAGTGTCCAGCCTTTCCCGGAACTGAACCAGCTCCTCCCAGAATGCCTGGAGTGGCGAGGACAAGGTCAAGATCTGAACCAGCCCCTGGCTGACTTCCATGGGGCTGGGGGCACTTCCTCAGTCTCTACCTTGGAGAGCAGGCTTCCCACATCAGGGAAGTGACTGCCACATGCATGTAGGAAGAAGTCAAAGGCAAGACATAGACGTACTTCCTGCCTGTGACGTGGGAGAAACCCAGGAAGGAAAACTCCAGGGCCCTAGGGGAGGTGTGCCCTTACTTCCAAGCACCTCCAGTTTTGGGTTTGCTCTGACCTGAGCTGTAGGGTCTGTCCTCAGGGTGACCTTGAAGCCCATGGCCTGGCACAGCTCCCCCAATGCTGCCACATCTTGCTGTGTCCCAAGCCGGTCTTGAATCACAGCCAGTAGGAGGGCAGCCCTGGTCCCAGACAGGTCATACTGTGTATTTGGTCCAGGGGCTAACTGTACAGAGGGTTAGGGACACACAGTGGGCTGAGGGGACTCCCAGTTCCTCCTCTCCTCATCTGTATCTCTCCACCCAACCTGCAACTGCCCATACATGACTGGTCTCCCTTCCTGCCCCTCACCTCTGACCTCCAGGGCTCCACATCTCTCAAACACAGGGTCCCCCGCAAGGAGGTCCTAAAGAATGGGCAGTAGGTATCCCCAGCAGACTCTTCAGCTACTCTGCAAAAGAACTAGGAGGGCATTGCCCAAAGACACCTCAGAGAGCTGCACTGTTGGCGGTGGGGGCACAACCCAAGCAGAGGGTCAGGATCTTGGCTCCAGGGGAAACTTAGCCAGCTCAGGGCTACTCGGGCTTTGGAGGTCACATGGCAGGGAGAAATGGGGGAACACAGAGGTCAGGATGGACTTAAGCAGGACCTAGGCTCTAACCCATACTCAAGTTCATTATCTCATCCTAGGGATAATACACACAGAGGCAGGACCGACCCTTCCTGGAGGAGCACAGGTCTGTGGAGGAGGACTCCTAAGGTGGCATACCTGGAGAGGTACTAGGCTGAGAGAGCCATGGAGCAGAGCTGGGGCTCTCAGTTCTCACTTCTACGCTTCTTGGTCACCCACCCAGACACCACTGAACTACCTGATAAGATGTTCAGACCTCAGGACCAAACCTGAGCCTATCTCAGCCACAAGGGCCTCTCAAAAGAACAAGGCAGCAGTCACTGCCTGCGTGACTATCAAAGGGTGTGGCTCAAGTTTCATTGTAGACACCAGGAGCACAAGGAAAGGAACTACGGATGACAGTGAGACTAGCCAGGCCACAGGGAGGGCACATAACATTCAGGGGATACTTTGGGCAAAGGCATGAGATGTAAAGGAAGTTTGGAGTCTGAGTGGTCTCGTGTAGGTATGAAGGCATGTCCTGCAGCCCACATTCATGTGGAGCTGACAAAGGTTTTCAGAACAGATACAACGGAGTGTTAATAAATTTAACTGTAACTGACTCTGGGGAGCCAGAGACATAGGCCCGCCTTCCCTTCCTCTGGGTCCCCCCACCTCTGTCAGCAGCTGCAGCAGTGACCAGTGAGGATGTTGGCTGCAGATTTTCCCCAGACCCGTGAGGAAAGCTTCAGGCTCCCAGGCAGCTGGTGGAGAAGCACCACAGGCTGTAGGCAGGACAGAAGGTCCCAGCTCTCTTGTTCACCCTCCACCTTCACTTTTCCCTCCCAGAACCAGGGTCACTGCCTAGCCACTCACCCTTGAGGTCACTAGAGAGCAACAGGAAGATTTTGGGGCAACCCTGCAGGGCCCCACAGCGACTCAGCTCCTGAACCAGCAGCTGTGGACGCCTTAACTGCCCACTGGGGGCCATCAAGACCACAAGGGCACACCCCACAACACCCCTGTGGACATCCAGCTGCTCCAGGAACAAACGCAGCTCCTCAAGGAAGCTCTAGGAGAAAGAGGCAAAGTGCTGGTGAGGCCCCAGCTAAAAGGGAGTGCTGTGGCTAAGGGTTGAAAGTCTCAGCGTGAAAGCTCACCTGGACTGGGACCTTCCTCTTCTCAGAGTTTTCAAAGCCCAGAGCCTGGGACACACCATCCAGGGCAGCAACTGCAGCTGCAGACACCCCGGAGCTGCTGAGTATCAAGGCTACCCTTGAACCCTGCACACTGTATTTTCCCTGGGGAAGGAAAACCAGAGCTGTGCTGGGTTGGAGTCCAGCTGGCTGCTGGGAATGGGCTGGGCCAAGCAGAGCATCTCACTACCTTTCTCCCCAAGCTGTCCCAAGCATCCGCCAACTGGGCAGCCGCCTGTAGGGTCCCAGACACCAGGAAGGCCATGAGGACCAGGTGGGGCTTCCTCCAAGCCCAGAACTTACTCCCTGGCTCTGGTTCCCAGTACACTGGGGCCTGATCCTTGCCCTCTTCTACACACGTTGCCTCCTATTAACTGCTATGATCCCATCTGGACTCTGCCCTTCTTTGGTAACCCTGGGCTCCACTCCCTCAGCCCAGCTCTCTTCTCTAGTTCTGGCTGATAACTTCATGGCTGGCATTCTTGTGTTCCCACCATAAGCTTGAGTTCAATTCTATTCTTAGCCCTTGGCCCATGCTCCTATCTGATTGTGTTACACCTAAACGTCTCCGTTAGGAGGGAGCTGCCAGTTCTAAAGCCCTGACACAATTCCCAGCATCCTTTTTCACCCTGTCCTCCATGTGGCTGTGCACAAAGCCCAAGCATACAACAGTGTAGAGTTTACAGAGGCAGGAATAACTAGCTGACTGGAACCTGCTTGGTCAACAGTTTGACCTTGGTTGCTTCATGTGGGGAATGGGGATGGCTGAGACCACAAAGCAGATGTGCTAAACTGGGGGCTGGCAGAGGAAGGAACCTGGAGACAACAACTGGCACACATGAATCAGTTAATAAGGGACAAGAACTTCTGTCTCTATCTATCCCCAGGTGCAGCACCTTAAGGCTGATACAATGAACTAAGAGGATCAGCAACAGTCAGAGAAGGAGTGACTGGCCCTGATCAGGCCAGTTCCGTGTAGGCCCCAGCTTGTTCTAGGATGTTGAGGGCTGGCTGGGAATAACAGCTGAACTCCTTATGGCTGGTTAACCACTGGCAGCTGCAAGCTCATACAGGACCAGTCTGAGCTCTTGATCCCACAGAGCAGCAGCCGGTCAGTCCCACTTTAGTTCCTGATCATTTCACTACCACAGTGGAGGAGGACCTGACACAGACTCCAAGTCGTGTTTAGCTCCTGCTCTTCCAAACCAGGTCTTCCCCGGCTGAAACAGGGGAGTCACAGGGCTGCAAGGACAGGATATGGCTCCCCCTGGTGACTGCATACACCATCAGTTGGTAACCATCAGTGTTACCAAACCAAAACTTCATGCTCCTAACTCGGAAAAGCCAGCTAAGAAATGACAGCCTCAAGGAAAATTTCCATGTTTATTCAAACTCTTCTGAAGCCCACCAGGCTGAGCCCTTTAGGAGGGCCCATGGTCTGTCCTTGTTAATGTCAATCTGCACACAACGCAGATTAAAAACATGGAATACAATGCTCGAGGAGTCAGCTACAAAGTGCTGATGGAGTGCTAAGTGCTAAGTACACCTCTGGAGGGGTGGGTGTTCTCCAGGGTCAGCCTGCTGCTACAGCTACCACCTCCACAAACCTCCAGACCTGCTGGCAAGTATGTCTGGGGCTCACAGCAGGACAGCTAGGCAGCTTCCTGGGGTCAGGGAGTTCGAGTGGTCACAGGTTGGAAGTGGGGGACAGGGATGGGGGGGTAAGGGGAGGTGAAGACCAGGAAGCTGCTGTGACCAAACCCAGGGCCTAAATTGTCATTGGTGTGGGCCCATGATCCTTCCTAAAAGCCCAGAGGTCCCCTGAGGATGGAGGCCAGTCCCTACTGGAAGGCACAAGTAGACAGAAACAGAGAGCCTCTGGCCAAGCAAGGCTGGAGGGTCCTGGGGAGAAACCCTAGGTCCTGTCTGAGGCCTCACACCACCTGATACTCAGCTGGAAACTGCGAAGCTCCAGGAAACAAGTGTAAGAGAAACCCAGGTCAGGAAGGGAAGAGACCGGTGGCAGGATCCTGGCAGCAGGCAGGCCAGTTCAGAGTACTTGGGTGCCTTCGATAGGCTGGCAGTGGTCACAGGCAAGAGGAGAATTCTCCAAGAGGAACAAAGAAGGGAGTCTGTGAGACTCACAGGGAGTAGCCAACTCCCTGGGCTGCTCAGGCCCCACTGGTGACTCACCCCACGGGTTGGGCCATCTTGGCATGCAGGCTCTGGTGTGCGATGAGGTGTGCACGCTGCTTGAAGCTCTTGTCACACTCGCCACAGCCAAAAGGCCGCTCGCCCGTGTGCACACGACGGTGGTCCAGCAGGTAGGAGCGCAATGAGAAACTCTTGCCACAGTCGCTACAGCCAAAGGGCTTCTCGCCCGTGTGGATGCGCTGGTGGTCAGCCAGGTAGGCGCTGCGGCTGAAGCTCTTGCCACACTCAGCACAGGAGAAGGGCTTCTCGCCTGTGTGCACACCCTGGTGACGCACCAGGTCAGAAGAGCTGCGGAAGCTCTTGTCACATTCAGGACACTTGTGTGGCTTCTCACCAGTGTGCGTTCGCTGGTGCCGGGCTAGGTCTGAGCCCCAGCGGAAGCGCTTCCCACATTGCCCGCAGCTGTGCGGTTTCTCAGTCACTAAATCCCGAAACTGGCGCCTGCGAGTGGGCGGTCGGCCCCGACGCGTCACCACCAGCGCGCCCAGAGCTGTCCTCGGTGGGGTCTCACTCTCCCAGACCTCGGTCTCAGCCTCCTCGGGATTCCAGGACACAGTCACTTCACAGTCAGTCTGTCCCGACAATGCTGTCATGGCCTCGTCTGGGGGAGCTCTCTCGCTCTGGCTTTTGGATCCCAAACCTGCAAGGAGGGGAGAAGCCTCTTTAGTCCCCCTTGATTCTGGGACAGGAAGGGATTTGAAGAAACTCAGCGAAATCTTCAGGCTGCTGTAGCTCAGACAGATCAAGCTTCAGTCTTCTCACCTACAAAATGACCAGATAGGCTAGCAAGATGGCTAAGTAGATAAAGTCACCTGCTGCCAAGCCTAACCACCATGCCTGAGCTTGTCCCTCCAGAACCTACAAGGTGGAAGGAAAAAAAACAATTCCAGACAGCCATCCTCTGACCTCCACACATGCCCCTCTCTGTACTGCACACAAAATAAAAACATTACAATGAATTTTTATTTTACAAGTCCTTTTTTATGAGAAAATGATAAAAGGCCAACAAACAAGCAGATCTGAGGCAACCTCAGGGAGCCCAGCTGAGGTGACGCTTCTGTAGAGTCACCTGATATTATAAAGACCCTCTGCCTGTTCCCCACCCGTGGCCAGTGCCACTCTCCACAGCTAAAGCCAGTGGCTCATTCCCTGTCTGTAAACTGAAGGCACCAGCTGGGCGGTGGTAGCGCAGCCTTTAATCTCAGCACTGCTGAGGCAGAGGCAGGTGGATCTCTGTGAGTTTGAGGTCACCCTGGACTACAGAGCGACTTCTAGGACAGCCAAAGCTACACAGAGAAACCCTGTCTCAAAAAAACAAAACAAACAAAAAACTGAAGGCACCAGCATGTGTACCTACTGTGGCTCCTCATTCCTTAAACTCCAGCTCTGCAGACACAGCACACGCCAGCCTTAGACAGGGAGGAGTCCCAAGCCAACTCACAGTGCTGCCAATTAAGCAAGATGAGACCAGGGAATGCTGAGAAAGACCTTGACTTGGTGTGGCCTCAAATACTGGGGTGCAGCTAGGGCTCTTGCTTGCTTTGTGTTTTGTTTTTAGTTTGTCTGTGGCTGACAAGATCCATCAACCTCACTGAATCTCAGAATGTTATCTGGGGACAAACACTCCTATGTAGCAGACTGATGTCTGACTGAGAAAATGCCCTTACAAGCCCTCCACAGAGCTGGCACACAGAGAACACTGGTCAATTGGTCACATGACCTACAGAAACACAGACACCTGAACATCATAGGAGGCTGTTGAGACTCAGAAAAAGCTAGCTTTAGAACCCAGTTAGGGAAGGGTGGGAAGAAAAACTAGGATTACAGCAGAAAGAGGGCTCCATAGACCTGCTTACCGAGAGCAGCATTCCGGGAGTTCTCTCTCTTTATGTCCCAGAAGAGATCCCTCTGAGCAGGGTCCAGGGAGCCCCATTCTTCTCGGGAAAAATAGAAAGGGATGTCTCCTAATGCCACAGGTTTTTGGACTGAGGAGATATGACCCAGCTCAGGTCTCCCAGACAGCTGTGAGTGAGGACAGGAGAGATCAAATTGTATATTCAAGAGCACCGAGCCCTCTGCGAGAACAAAGGGACTGCTAACTCACATGAACTGCAGAGGAAAAGTAGACATCCATCATTTCTCCTGTCCGTCCCTCTTTAAGAACAGGAAGCTGTGCTGCAGAAAAAGAACAGAGCTTCATACAGGCCAAGGTCAAGGACTGAGACTGATGGCTTCATCTAAACTTGCACACGTACATACACCAAATGCATGAACACACGTGCTCATATGGCTGGGCTTCCCTGTGCCTGTTACCCTCAGGGCAATTCTAGAGAAGAAACCTAGGCCCTGCTGACTGGAAAGTCTTACTCACCCTGGTGGTGTTGCTCTTGGGATGCAGGTAGCTGCTTCTGTACCCTTGCCTTCTGGGGAGGCCCTGTGGCTGGGAGTCCCTGGACTGCTGCTTTAGGCTCCACTTCAGAGGGTTCATCCTGTGCAGTAACCATAACATGCCCATCAGCACAGAGAGCAGACTAGAGATAGGGGCAGGCGAAGGAGGTACGAGTCACACCCATTAGGAAACTGAGGGTTGGGTGGGGTAAGAGAGTAAAAGGAGGCCCAGAAAAGACCAGAGGAGAGAAGAATTCGACACCAGGCAGTGTTTTATACTCAAGGATACTTCATGATCAAGAAGCAAGAGCCAGCTAGGTGATGGTGGTGCATGCCTTTAAACCCAGCACTTAGGAGGCAAAAGCAGGAGGATCTCATTGAATTATTAGAGGCCAGCCTGTTCTACAAAGCAAGTTCCAGGACAGACAGGGCTACACAGAGAAACTCTGCCTCAAAAAAAGAAAAAACAAACAAAACAAAAAACCAGCAAGAACCAGTCCCTAAAAGGCTAGAATTATAGCTACTTAGCAAAGGAGAGAAAGTGGGGGGCAGGTCCTCCAGCCAAGGGCAGAACCCCACTTCCTAGCTGCTCATTAGCACATCCCCAGAAGCTCCCAGTGTCAAGGACTCAATACAGCAGAGTACCCTTAGATGGCTCCATCTCCTCATACCCCTCTAATGAATACCATTGTATTAGACTGACTACAGCAGTCAGTAGACTGACTAGAGCAAAGCACAAATAGTTGTGTAGCTTAAAACCTTTCTGGACTCACTGGCGAGGCAGAGACAGTGGGATCTCTGAGTTCAAGGCCAGCCTAGTCTACAGGGTGAGTTTCAGGACAGCCAGCTATGCAGAGCAATACTGTCTCAAAAACAAAAACACAACAAAATAAAAACTAAACCTTTCTGGACCACAACTACTTTAAATCCAATGACGTCATGAAAAATAAACTACATTTGCTTAAGACTCCTCCTTCAGAAAAGCATCGAGTGTTACACTGGGATTGTGTGTGCTTCCCTGGACAAGGTTGTTTCCCCGCCATCTGCAGAGACTTGTCTCAACGAAGATGGCCTCTATTCTTCAGGCTCCTAGACATGGAAAGGTCCCCTCACCTGTGGCCAGGCTTTCAATGACTGATTCTGTATGTCCTCCACCAAAGCAACAGCTTCCTCGCCACTCCCAAGGTGCTGTCTCTGCACCTGGGCTTGGATCTCCCTGGGTAGCACAGCCAGGAACTGCTCCAGCACCAGCAGCTCCAGGATCTGCTCCTTGCTATGCAGCTCAGGCCGCAGCCAGCGGCAGCACAGCTCCCAGAGCTGGCTGAAGGCTTCGTGTGGCCCACCCACATCCCTGTAGCAGAACTGACGGAAGCGCTGGCGGCAGGTTTCTTCTGAATCCTTGCTGTCCACTGGCTGGGCAGGTTCCTGCTCCCAAGAGCAGTCTTCTACCTTCACAATCAGAAGTCCATCTTCCTCCCCAGGAGCATGGTCTTGGAGCTCCGGGAAGGATGCCATTCCCCTGGCCTAAGGCTCAGGGCTAATCAGCTTTAGCTTAGAGCTCCAGAGCTGAGTCTCCGGGAGAGGTTCTCTGTGACAGCTGGGCTGGCATCAGGACACATACGCCTCTGAAAAGAGCAAAAGGATAGTATTTGAGAAGAGTGGAATACACC